AATTCCATAAATAAATTAAAGAGATAAGATAAAGTTGAACCTTAAATGAAGAAATAAGAATCGCAAAATCTGGACCAAACCTCGATTAGAACACTCACAAAGCTTTGGTGTGGATGTGTGTTGTGTTTATATAAAAGTAATGAAAAGAAAAGGAACAAAGAGATGAAAAATGTTTGTGGGTATGTTACCGATCGGTTTTTTCTTCTTTCTGGCGTGTGTGTGTTTGTTTTTCTTTTTTCTTTTTTTGGTTGTGCCTCTATACGTTGTGTATGTTTTTTTTTTGTTTGTGGGAAGTGTTGTGTTTAGGAATAGTGTCCGGTATGTATGTAGTGTGCAGATGGGGTTTTTGTAGTGTTCTTGTACGTGTAGTATGTGGGTGTATAGTGGTGTAGGGGTTGAGTGGAGTGGGGTGGAGTAATGTAGTGTGGGGGGGGGGGGTAGAGTAGTGGGGTTAATGGGTAGGTATATATAAATATAAAATATAATAATTAAAAATATTAATTAATTATTTTATATTAATATAAATATCAGAAAAGTTAAATAGCTAATTAAAAAATATAATTAAGAAACACTAGTTTATTTATTAAATCTAAATTAAAAGAAAATATTTTTTTTAAAAAAATTTTCATTTCTTTTTTAAACAATTAAAATAAAACTTACCTTAAAAAGTGATTATATTTTTGTTGTTTTAAAACCTTTTAAAAGAAATTTAATAAAATAAGATAAAAGTCAAAATATTTAATTTAGATTTATAAAAATATTTAAGCTCAAAAAATGGTGTAAAATTTTAGGTTCGGTCAAAAATTACGTGTCTACAGTTTGCTCCTCTTTGACTGAAAACACGACGTGTTTGTTAGACAAAGAAGTAGACAAAGCGACAAGTTTTGACCGGACTTTTATTTGAGTAGAGAAATTTGTGCGACCAAGTCGTAATTTTGAACATCCTACATATTCCGGGTTATAAGGGAATCAAGTCACGTGTAGTTGAAGGAGATGAGGTGATGAGCTGGAAGTTAAGTGAGGTTTTATCAAGGCTCCAGGTCCCGGCTCTTATCCTTACATAAAAAAAATGAAAGCTAATAGTCAAAAGAAAAATAAAAGTACAAGCTCCTATCTATGCAGCTTCTCTTTAGTCTTCACTTGAGTCTTAACTTTCAAATATCACCTTGATTTTGGTGGGTATTTTGATCTTGAATAGATTCGATGCTTAACTTGCCACTTAGAGTGAGCTTTTGACACTCTTCAAAATGAAAATTTGAATATGTTCTTGAATGACTGCATGTTTTCTTGATCAGAAGCTGAATAGAAATAGATGTCAGGAAGACATGCTGCTATATGCATTGAAGAAGCTGATTCTGGCTATCATGGAATTGATCATTCTGAAAAGAGTTGAAACTTTGTTCCTGAATTTCTAATCCATGTTTCGCTTGAAGAAACCTGAAAACCATCTCAAACAAAAGAAATAAACAAAAAATTTGCCACAGTTTTCACTGGAAAAATTTTGTGAGTTATGAGCAAATGTAAATTAAAAATATAAACTCAGACTAGGAAGTGCTTAACCTAGGAGAAGAAAAAAAAGGTCTCTGACTATGAAGTGTTTATCCTAGGAGAAAGTAACCAAATCTCATTATGTATGAGGGTCTTGCTAATCCCATTGTCCAGGAGGGTCCTGCTAATCTAATTATCATTGTCCAGGAAGGTCCTGCTACTCAAATTCCCATTGTTAGGAGGGTCTTGCTACACTAATTCCCATTGTTTATGAGGTCCTGCTAATATAATTCTCATTGTTTAGGAGGGCCCTGCTACTCTAATTCTCATTGTTTAGGAGGGTCCTGCTACTCTAAATCTCATTGTTTATGAGGGTCCTGCTACGCTACTTCTCATTGTTTAGGAGGGTCCTGCTACGCTAATTCTCATTGTTTAGGAGGGTCCTGCTACTCTAGTTCCCATTGTTTATGACGGTCCTGCTAGTCTAGTTCCCATTGTTTAGGAGGGTCCTGCTACTCTAGTTCCCATTGTTTCGGAGGGTCCTGCTACTCTACTTCCCATTGTTTAGAAGGGTCCTGCTACACTAATTCCCATTGTTTATGAGGATCCTGCTACACTAATTCCCATTGTTTAGGAGGGTCCTGCTACACTAATTCTCATTGTTTATGAGGGTCCTTCTACTCTAGTTCCCATTATTTAGGAGGGTCCTGCTACTCTAGTTCCCATTGTTTAGGAGGGTCCTGATACGCTACTTCCCATTGTTTATGAGGGTCGTGCTACGCTAATTCTCATTGCTTATGAGGGTCCTGCTACACTAATTCCCATTGTTTAGGAGGGTCTTGCTACACTTATTTTCATTGTTTAGGAGCGTCCTGCTACGCTACTTCCCATTGTTTAAGAGGGTCGTGCTACGCTACTTCCCATTGTTTAAGAGGGTCCTGCTACACTAATTCTCATTGTTTAGGAGGGTCCTGCTACACTTATTTTCATTGTTTATGAGGGTCCTGCTACACTAACTCTCATTGTTTAAGAGGGTCCTGCTAAACTAAATCATCAAATACAATTACCGTAACACATTTTTTTTAAATAGTTTTTATTTTTATTTTTTAGATTAGAAAATGTTTATCCTAAAAGAAAAAATGAAAAATAACTGCCTCAAACTAGAAAGTGTTTATTCTAGGATACAGAAAATAAATAAATAAAATAATAATACTAATAATGGTCTAGGACATGGAAGTGTTTATCCTAGGAGAAAATGAGAAATAAATGTCTCAATCTAGGAAATGTTTTTCCTAGAAGAAAAAATGCATGTAATTTTTTAATTTTTTTTTTTGCAATAATGTTCACAAATTTGAGTCTTTCATTTATATATATATATATATATATATATATATATATTTTTTTTTTAATGGCAGTCGATTTGTGGCATTTGACTTTGAGGATAGTTTCTCCTATTGTTGCCATGTTTGAAGCTAATTTTAACTTTGAGATAAACTGATTTCGTTTGCTAGTCAGCTCACCTTGATAATCTTGAAACATCTCTAGTTGTTCAAAACTTTCAACTTCATACTTGTTATATTGTTTCCATCCTCCAACAATCATTGAATCTTGTATTCATATAAATTCTCAAAATTTGTCAATTATTGGCAAGTTACTATGCATATTAATATTTCTTGAATCATGTCACATTTGAAGTGCTGACCAAACTTTGCTTTGTACAATTGAAAAGATGGTAGCAATTTTGAAATCATTTTCTGCTTGCTTTAATGAAGACTAACCCAAGGGAAAAAATGAAACCGAATTGAGCGATACAAAATAAGAAGAAGGAAAGTAAAAAATAAAAATTAACCTTTAAGAGAAAAAAAATGGAAATAAAAAGAAACTCCTTTGAGAGTGATGATCAATTCTAATGATCATGACATACATGTGAGATTAAATGGCTTGATTTGTCCAATCAATATAAACTTTATCTTTGTCAAACTTTCAACCTACTGAAGTCAGACTTTTATAATACAACTTTTGCACTAGATTCATATCTCACATTTGACGGTTCCTCGAAAGGTTTTTCACCAATAACCTCTCTCATTTTGTATGTCTCTCACTCACATCGTCTTATAGTGCCCTAAGGGTTTTCACCAATAAGACTCTCTCATTTTTCACTTTCTCTCAACACAAATGATGCCTTATAGTGCTTTCGAGAATTTTCATCGATAAGATTATCTCATTTTCGCTCTTTATGCGAACGATGTGACATTTTTCCTTATATGATAATCAACACTGAAAGCTTGCTTGACTTGCCATTGTTAAAAATGGATCAGAAGGTCTTTATTTGGATTGTAATGTGACTTTTGGACAGGGTTATAAAGAAAGGGTGAAAACTCAGATATAATACTTATAAGACGATTAAGACTTACGACTTTTGGAATCGACTCTAAATAAACAAATAAACAAAATAAAATAATAATAATAATTATTATTATTATTATTATTTTTGCCCCAGTTTTTGTGATGAGGATCTTAGAGATTTTTTTCTTGGTTGGACCGAACCTCAGAATAAAGCCTACGTATCTTGTCAAAGCAAGAATCATGTCGTAGTTCAGGAAGTTTGTTCTTTTGTTGTTATTGATTTTTTCCACCTCTTTTTTCACTTTTTTTCCTGACTCTTTTTTGTGACTTCTATTTTTTATTTTTTATTTTGAAGTTGCGACTCTTTTTCTCTTTTTTGAATTTGTGACTCTTTTTTCTTTTTCTTTTTGACTGTATTTTGATTCCAAAAGAGGGGTACGAAAGAGAATAAATTTAAGGCTCAAAAGGGGTAGCAAAGGATTACATAGTGTTTGGATAGTAGAATGAAATGCCTTCGTCATATCAATTATTAATAATGACAAATACAAGCATGCCCTTTAAGATGTGAAGTGAAAATCATACATTATCTCTTTGCAACGTATGCATTGATGGATATGTATATCAACTTGAAATCTCCATTTGAGTAATACCTTCTTGACAAAAAATGACATACGTCAATTTAAATGAAACTTATTTTTTTAACCATTTTCGATACTAAAGGACGTATCAAGGTGTTTAAGTCATTTATTCATTTCCTCGAATGTATTTATTTTTTTACTTCTATGGTGTATTCATTTCATGGCTAGATATAATCTTAAGATCTTACCAAATCCTCTTGCATATCATGTCACAAAAATTGAATTGAAAAGAAATGTATGTCGAAAGCCAAATAGAATGGGTCACTTTGACACAAAATAAAGATTATATTAAGATAAAAAAAAACTCGATGACAAGACAACAAACTAAATTTTAGGTTACAACTCTATAATAACCCAAACTACGACAAGACTCAACAAACAAACACATAAGAGAAATGATAGAAATGTCTGACTTACTAAAATAAAATAAAAAAGAATTGCATAGAAGAAATGATGACAAAATAAACTATCCATACACTTTTTTTTGCGAGAAAAGAAGAGTGTATCCCAATCACCAAGCTTGACTTCTTAGCCACTACTTTGCACGCTAACCTTCATGAAAGCTCCAACAATTTCAATTGTCTTTTTCTGAGAATTGAGAGAATTGTCATATTCTTTGTCATAACACATCATTTCGATGAAGTGTGTATCATTATGCGCCGGTAGAAGATTCTTAGTAACATTTGGGGGGTCATCATTTTGAACCACAATCATCTTTGTTTGAACCATCTCTTCCACCTTTCTTCTTAAATTTTGATAATCTTCAGTACTGTGCCCTGGAGCATCAGAATGGTATGCACACCGTATTGTAGGATTGAAACCTTTTGCATGTGGATCCACGTAATTTTGAGGAATTGGCTCTATCATATTCAAACGTTTGAATTTCTCAAATACACTTGTGTAAGACTCTCCAATTGGTGTGAAATTGTTCATAGGTATTTGACCTCCCTTAAATCCCTGTCTTGGACGGGGATTATAAGGTGCTCGAAAAGTTTGAGAGAAAGGACGAACATTTTGATTTGTTGGTGCTCTCCATTGAGGATAGTTTGGTGGATATGCATATGGTTGTGCACCATAGACTGCATATTGAGGTGGGACAATAGAATTTTGTGTATCTTGCATGGGGAAATAGTGATGAAATTGAGGTGGTGCATATTGATAAACTGGACCCCTTGGACCCTTTAGTGTGTCTGACACAACATTTACTACATCTTCCTTCATTTTCTTTCCCTTAAGATTTCCTGATCCATTTTTAATCACTTGTGTTGTAGCTTTCAAGGCAACTTGACTTACAATTTTTCTAGACTTAATGTCATTTTCCACCATTTCACCAATCTTAATAACTTCAGCGAATGTTTTTCCAACAACGGAAAGTAAATAATGAAAGTAGTCTGGTTCTTGCGCTTGAAGGAAAACATCAATCATTTCAGACTCTTTCATTGGCGGCTTAACCCTAGCATCTTGCTCCCTCCACCTAATAGCATATTCACAAAAAATTTCGGTGGTCTTCTTCCTCATGTTGACAAGTGAAGTACGATCTGGAACTATGTCGATGTTATATTGAAATTGTTGAACAAAGCATCGATCCAAATCATCCCATGTATGCCAGTTAGAAGTATCTTGATTTATGAACCATTCTGAGGCAATTCCTATCAAACTTTCCCCAAAATAAGCCATGAGCAATTCTTCTTTGCTTCTAGCCCCTCTCAGTTGATTATAATATCTCTTTAAATGAGCTACATGATCTCCATGTCCATCATATTTTTTGAACTTTGGAGTTTTAAAACCGATGGGTAGATGAACGTGGGGAAACATGCACAAATCATTGAATGAAATATTTTTGTGACCTCCCAATCCTTGCATATCTCTTACACTCTGTTCCAAACTCTTCATTTTTCTAGTCATTTCTTCATGTTCCTCGTTCTTAACAGCTTTTTCAGCCTCAACATGGGAACTATACTGATGAGTGTGAGGGTAAGAGCTTGGAATTTTAAAAGTCAATTCAGGAGTATAATCTTGATCATATTGAACTTTGGGTGGAGGATCGTTTTTGGATTTTGGCTCCATTAGTTGTTGAACGACATTAGTCGACGTAGTTGGAATGAATAGTGGATTACTTGTCATAGGCGTACTCAAAGGGCGCACCATAAAAGTTCCAGCTACGTTTGATGCGTTAGCATAGGGATCGAATCTAGGTGGATAAATTGGATCACTTATCGATACGTGGACAGGGGGTGACATTTGTATTTAGATAGTCACGGATTGAAGGCGATGGAGCTTGTCCACTCATCCAAGCTTCGTACATCTCCGTCATTTGCTGTCTTAGTATCCTTATCTCTTCGGCTGACACTATTTCTTGTGACATCATCTGGTTTTGGACCTCATCATTGTCCTACTCATTTCCGTCTTTGTGAGTCATTTTCTTTTTCCCTTTTGACCTTGTATTGTAGGGATGGGATGTCAGCCTAACTACAAATAAACCACCTTAATTTAACTGCGCAATGATAATAATGCTTGTTAGGGCTAGACCTTCTTCAGTTATAAGTTATTTTTTTAAAAAATAATAATTTAATAATGCTTTGATCAAATTTGTTTGAGATTGAGTACGTAACACGCTTGCGAACATGACTAAGATCTTTGCATATTTTTTCAAAAACTCAATAACTAAGCATTTTTTTAGAGCTTTGAGATAAAATCCTTTAGTTTTTTTTTATTTGACTTATTAAAAGAAAATTAATAAAAACTTGTTTTTGATAAAGATTAAAGCTTCTTGTTTTTCATTTTTTTTTTGAATTTTTGAATTTTTGAATTTTTTTTTGAATAAAGATCACCGAACTCAAAGCATATGTATCCCATTGAGGTGAGAATCAGGTGTGCGTAGTTCGTCTAGATTGGACAGAAAAAAAAAAATAACTTTGAAATATTAAAAACTTTTTTCTGATAAAAATGCAATTTTTAAAGTATTATGAAAGTAAAATATTTTGATTTTTTTATTAACTGCACAAAAAGAGATTTAATTAATATTTTTTTCTTTAATTTTGATTAAATAGTGAAAAATCTTTCATTTCATTTTCTAGAAAGGTATAATATCTTCTAAAAAAAGAAATATTTTTTTTCTTCACTAGTCACACTAAAATGAGTCAACTTATAGATATTTTCTAAATAAATGTATTTGCATGTAGCTAATAAAATGATCTAAGTGGTCAAGTAAAAGAGAGATACATGCCATAGACAGACTCAATTCTTGTTCAAGTCTACTAAGTAAAATGCAAATGATGCAAAATAACGGAGCCTACTAAGGATAATCATGTATGTATATCAGGTTTAATAGGCCTAAACCTAAAGTTATTAGTTTCTAGACCGGTTTACCCGAGTGAACAACTCGGATAAGGGATGGACAACTTATCGGTAGCAGCGCTATTCCGATTTCATTGCTGGTCCAACTCTGCCTAACATTTGTGACTAAAATCCTTCACTAGGTGCCCAAACACTTCAGCTTTATTTCAAAAGAGAGTGGGATGCATAACTGCATTCCCTACTACCCTATTTTAGAGACTCAAGGTGCGCGAGAAGAAAATTATATACTATTCAACAATATAAAAGCGATAAATGAGCAGCAAGTAGCACATTAGGTCATCAAAATAATATATCCAATGAAATAATATAATAAAATCAAGTAAAAGTCAATAGACAAAACTCGAATTCTGGTTATTCCTCAGCGGAGACGCCAGAGATGTCACACCCATTTTCGCGCATGGCGGAAGGGTTTTTCCAATTTAAGTGACGTTATAGATTTAGGGATTATTTTACTTTCAGAGTTGCCACTTGAAATTGAGATATGATGTTCCAAGTCACCTTTTTATTTAATCCCTAATCAAAAGGAAATGACTTTTTATATGGTCTGCGAACTAGAAATTCGGGTAAGAAATTCTGTTGATCGAGGGGAAGGTATTAGGCATCCCTCGAGTCCCGTGGTTCTAGCACGGTCGCTTTTATTGACTTCTACCTACTTTAAATCATTTGTGGATATATTATTTTTCAGGCCATGACTTGTTTGCATTTTTATTGTTAAACTTTTATTTGGTCTGAAATCGGATGCATAACTGCATTCTCGACTTTGGACATATTAATAGCTTATGAGCATAATTGTTTTCTTCTCTTGAGTGCATCACCTAATTTTATCTATAAGTGATCTTATTTTAAATTAATGAAAGTTATTATATTTTTCGACAAGGTGCGTCACCGCATCCTTGAATTTTTTTCAATGTCTCAAAAAAGATGCACAATCGCATTCTTAATTTTTTACAAATATTTTTAACGTGCATAAAACTCATCTAGTATTAAAAGTACTTACTCTTATTTTTCTGAATTCTAAACAACTAATCTTCTCATTTCATTATTATATTTATTGATGATACTTTTAATTAAATTAATCCACATGTTAAAATATATATTAGAATAATTTTATTAAGGTGTGTTACCACATCTTTGAATTTCTTTTAAGTGTTTCAAAAAAGATGTGTAACCACATTCTTAATTGAAACAAATTTTTTTTTTTTTACATGCCTAAAACCCATCTAATGTTATAAGAAAATATTAAATAAAATAAAACAAATCTAAACTTCTAGGATACAATATAAATTTTGGATTATCTTATATTCTTTTATTTTTATTCACCCTTAAAGTTAATGTTAAAATTAGACCTACACATATTATATTTTTATTTTTTTATCTTGAAGTTAATGGCGAAATTAGGCATACTCATATTGTACTTTTTTTATTAATCCAACGAAACAATGACAAATTGCTAAAATAAATCTTATTCTTTATTTAATAAATAAAACAACAATAATTTTGTGAACCCAATAATTCCTACTTTATCGTTATTAGCATCGAAATCAAGAAAAGAACAACATCATGACCCATTCATTTTAAGACATCACAACTAATGAGCAAAAATAGATAAATAAAAATAACCACCAAATAAAGTTACTTTCATTCATTAAAGAGATATAACACTTAACACATTCTTCATTTTAATCAAATTATGAATAAAATAAAAGTGTAAGAAAACTTATCATAATAATTACATCAAATTCCATAAATAAATTAAAGAGATAAGGTAAAGTTGAACCTTAAATGAAGAAATAAGAATCACAAAATCTGGACCAAACCTCGATTAGAACACTCACAAAGCTTTGGTGTGGATGTGTGGTGTTTATATAAAAGTAATGAAAAAAAAAAGGAACAAAGAGATGAAAAATGTTTGTGGGTATGTTACCGATTGGTTTTTTCTTCTTTCTGGCGTGTGTGTGTTTGTTTTTCTTTTTTCTATTTTTGGTTGTGCCTCTGTACGTTGTGTATGTTTTTTTGTTTGTTTGTGGGAAGTGTTGTGTTTAGGAATAGTGTCCGGTATGTATGTAGTGTGCAGATGGGGTTTTTGTAGTGTTCTTGTACGTGTAGTATGTGGGTGTATAGTGGTGTAGGGGTTGAGTGGAGTGGGGTGGAGTAATGTAGTGTGGGGGTAGAGTAGTGAGGTTAATGGGTAGGTATATATAAATATAAAATATAATAATTAAAAATATTAATTAATTATTTTATATTAATATAAATATCAGAAAAGTTAAATAGCTAATTAAAAAATATAATTAAGAAACACTAGTTTATTTATTAAATCTAAATTAAAAGAAAATATTTATTTTTTGTAATTTTCCATTTCTTTTTTAAACAATTAAAAATAAAACTTACCTTAAAAAGTGATTATATTTTTGTTGTTTTAAAACCTTTTTAAATAAACTTAATAAAATAAGATAAAAGTCAAAATATTTAATTTAGATTTATAAAAATATTTAAGCTCTAAAAATGGTGTAATATTTTAGGTTCGGTCAAAAATTACGTGTTTACAAAAGGCACACTAGAGTTTGCACCAATTTTGGAGTTAATGAATTCCTAAATGAATCCATGATACGTCCACCAGTACTAAACGCACACATGGATGCCACACTTGAAATAGGAATAACTAACACATCCCGAGCCATTTTAGCAAGAACGAAAAATCTAGGTGAGTTTATTTTCCACTAAGACAAGATGTTGAAGTTCTTTCTTTCAACTTCATTTTCTTCAGCAAGATATTTTTGCAATTCTGTTTTGACAGTTGTTGTATTTTCAACTTTATGTTTCATTAGATCACCCATGAATGTCCCTAAAGATCCTATCGATTGGACGATACAACATGTACTTGAAAGCAGTGAACCAGAATTTTCAAATGAAGAACTAGATAAAGATGAAGACGGACTACCTTTATCTTTAGAAATGGACTTTACATATTCACCAAACAACAATTTCATGTAGTCTCTAACTCCTTTTTCTAAAATTGGACCTTCTTTCCCAAACATCATTCGAAGTGAAAAGCCAAATGAAACAAACTTGTGTCGAGGATTATCCAAAACACAAGAAATAAAAATCATCTTGTTCATCTTCTTTGGAGTACCCCAATACTTGTCAAATTTTTCTCTCATATTCGAAGCAATTTTACCCAAAAGATCATCACTATCATCTTCACTCGATATCAATTGATTCAAATAGCAAAAAACCTCACAAATTTTAAGAAAATGTGAGTTTGTTGTGACGTAGTGTGATCCAGATACTTCTCTAGTAAGATCATAAAAAAATTGAAGAAAATTAGCAATTTTTCTTACATTGTCCCAGTCATCACTCAAAAGGGCACCAACAGCTCTTCCATCTCCACCCTTTCCATCTTCATCCTCAACAAACTGAAGGTACTGTAACAAGCCAATATCACGAGCAGCATAACTGGAAAAAACATTTTCAAACTCAATAGCCCTATTCAACATCAAGTATGTGGAGTTCCATCTTGTAAATATATCCAAACATAAAGATTTTTTACAATTAATATCAACATCTTCACAACATTTTTGGAACCTCTTACACCTCGCAGGAGATAACCTTATGTATTTAACTGCTTTTCTAACTCGTTCAATAGACACAACATATACCTTCAAACCATCTTGAACACCTCACATGAAGGTGTTTTCCATTCATGAAATTGATCCCCCGTTTAGTGAATATATATCTTAGGGAACTCTTTCACAGTCACGTCATTCGAACTAGCATTATCGACTGTGATGGTAAATATTTTATCTAAGCCCCAATCACACAAATACTTAATAATCTCATTAGCCATATCTTCACCTTTATGACTAGAAATTGGACATAAGTTG